TCAAACGACACGCGAGTATATAAAGTAGCCTTGTTTGGGCTTTCATTGCTTTGATTTTGATTGCTTTGAAATGCGAATGCGAAACGCATAGACTGCAAGTGAAATAATCAAGCGATCGTATAGCTACAACATTGCATCCATATTATTGGCTACTGCCTAAATGTGCTGCTAAGTGTACACAAGTAAACCGATGTGTTACGGCGGGCGTGCTGCAGAAACATTTCAGCGAACAAGCAATGTGCAAAATAATGCACATTCATATGCCATCTGATCAGTGATAATCCAGAGTGTTTACCGCATACACAATTATCATGACATCATTTCACTGTAGAAAAGCACTCATGCAAAACCTGTTCAGCAATCATGTAAACGTTTAGTGTGCCCGCTGCTTCTTGTCCGTCCGTTCCTGTTTGCAGTGTAGACAGTAGTAGTCAGTGTGCGATTTCGGGCAGTGGTATGGTTACGCTTTTGAGAGGTGAAGAGGTTACGCAGAGTAGATTTTAAGAGGAGATCGAGATGATCTTCTCTTCTGGCTGCTAAAAGGTTAGTTTCAACAGCAAGCGATCAGATACGAGGATGTTACAGTTGAAGTGAACAAGGGGTTTAAAGNATTCTGACACCAAACATTACGGTTGTTCTCGCAATGTTACTCGTTACGGCGAATGATTTATCAGTTATCAACATTGTTATTGCGATTGTATTCCCACATTATTGCTTGATCGATAGTGTTTGCTGACATTCGCATATTATTATCTTATTTTGCTGATGTCACTGTTGGATTGTTGTGTAACGGCGATCTTTATTTGAACGGCGTGTGATTATTAATGATAATAACATTATTATTGCGAAGATTAGTTTTGACACGACTTCATGCGACTCGGTCGTATAAATGTTGTGTGCTGCATTTAACAATTGTTCAGTGGATGTGTTGCTTTTCGCTCGTAAGGGTGATTGTTTGTGGAAGACGGGTACATAGACACGATGAGTTTTTGTTTAATTTTTATCAAAATATGTTGTTTATCCACGATAAAATATTTACATCGATGTGCACACCATAAAATTCGGTATGCAAAAATGTTTCGGCTAGTTTCAACACCATTTGGTGAAATAAGGCCCAGGCTTGTTAGGCTCAAGCCTCCTCTTGTCAGGTTTAAGTGCAGTCTGCTGATTCATTCAATATCTTCTGCGAAACTTCAGTTCATATACCGGTTCATCATGAGTTTCATAATTTTCTCTTTTCCACTCAAGCAAAGATACATAAATGTTATCCTTGCCACATTATTCTCACGATAATCAATCGCTCGTTTACTTCATCGTTTCATAATAACATCAAACAACGTAAACGTATACCGATGACGAATGCAGCACACGAATTATCTCTCTCTTTTTGAGAAACGTTCTAATAAATAAATATATACAACGACATATAGCACAATACAGACACAAATATGTTTCAAAGTAAAATAATGCTGCCTGTTGTACACATATAAAACAAACGTGATTGGCTGCTAGCAGATAGATCTATCTAATGAGCAACAGAAAGAGGCCAACTAACCAACATCACAAAGCAAGCTATTAATTGATTGGTTTTCGCTTTCGAAAGACATCATTATTAATAAGTGAAGAGGTCGTGTTGATATATGTTGACTTATCCAGTATACGTTCGTTGCTCACTCACCGTTCGTTGAACATTCAGTGCTTGAACACTTTTACATTTCATATTTCGTAAGCGTTATTTATTTATGTATTTGTATTTGTTTGCATTTTGTTCCACTGACGTTTAGACGTTGTCATCCATGTCGTATCGTTTTCATTTGGATAGCAGGCAGGCAGTAACCTCATGTACAACTCGTACTGCTGCTACAAGCCACTGGAAATAGATGTGTAGCCGTGTACAGGGGCACAGTTAGAAACCTATGCATTAGCATGAGAAGTTTAGGATGAACGGAAATGCACATGCACATGCACATAGTTCATGGAATATGGTTGGTTCGTTCTTTTATTTATTTCGTCATTTTGTGTCGCTCGATTCGATTCGAAATTTCGTTTCGTTATTTCGTCATCCGTCATCTATCTGGTTTCGATGTTTTGATTGTGAAATTTCGCTGATTGTGAACAGTTCAGTTGAATTTCGCCATCAATTTAGCTGGTGACGTACTTCAGGCAGGAGATGAGGAGTGAATGAATACTCATTCCTGCTGCCGTGCTTGCCCCCTCCCACCGAACGCTGTCGTGTTTTATATTTTCAACTGAAGTTTTATTCGTTCATTCGCCCCCTCCTCGGAAGCACATCTGTGGTGACCTCTTGGGAATGTTCAGTTCAGATTTCATCTTCGAACCTTGCTTTATTCCACCGTTCCAGCTCCGGATGTGGACAGTTCGGACATGTTTTATAGTAATAATAATAATAATAAGTGTTACATCGATGCTGCAGCAGGTATATGTACTCCGTGATGCGGTGGTCATATTTTATCTTATAGATGCTGTACTCTGCACTCGAGAAAATGCCCACCGGCTGATAAGATCTGCCGGTGGGATGGATCGAATTTGTAGTTTGTGTTGGATTCGTTGATTTGAAAGTATTTGAACGCTTGACGATGTACGAGCAGTGAATTGATGACGAAATAGTGATGAAATCGTTGTTGAAATGGTCGTGTCGTTTCATTATTGCGTTATCATTCCTCCGTTTTCGACGATCGATTTCGATTGTGCTCGTATCTATCCATGCATCCGTCTTAATAGCTTGGCAATTTGATTTACCCGACGGTGGGTTTACCCAAGAGAGTGCCAGGCAGTTTCTCGTGGTTACTCTCCACCGCTTCTTATTCCTAGCGCTATTGCTGTCTGCATCCGTTTTGCGGGTGTATTTCGCAACATGCTGCTGAAAGGAAAGGGTTTTTCGTAATGTGAAATAAAATTCCGGTTCCGGTTTCTATATGGGATAAAATCCACCCATATAACAGCTCAGATTGGGTTTGGATGCTGGCCGCGTGAATAATTGAGGTTATTCTGGATGGATGTGATGTTGATTTCAATGGATTTCAGAAGCGCCGATATAAACGAGCCATAACCAGTGCGAGCATTAAACCGAATCAGTTGCCGTACTGATTTTATTCAGTGCTCTTTTCTTATAGTAACGTCAAATAAAGCAGTAATGTATATGAGGTGTACTGAGTGTGTCTAAGTGTGCTTTATCATTTCTTGCACACGCTCACTCAAACCTCCAAGATTTTGTGCCTTATAAGGTGGGTGAAGATATTATCTTGTGAAATTCTTGCTATTGCGATTTCTGAAAAGTTTTACTAGCTGGAATGGTCATGTGATGCCGAAGTTCGGATTGACTCTGTCACTTATTTTCAAAAAGGAGCTGGGGATTTGATGGTTGCAATATTTTCTTTTTGAATGTGCAAGTGCATATTTAAGATTAAAGATGCGATCAGTATCAGCAAATAAAAATATATTAGACCAGAGTGCATTATTTAGTGGTGCAGTAAAACTTGACTGTGTTCTGTTGCAGATGTGTATGGTGCTTGTTGTTGAATTGCTATAGTTTGTTATTATTGTTATCAGTGTAAATTATTGGTTGATATTATTGCGATATTGTGATGCCAAATTTGTCAATAATGGCCCATGAACTTGATTCTACAACGCTGGCAAATTTAGTGAGAACGGTTGATCCGTTGAAAAAGGTTGGTTGAGTTGTTGAAAGTTTGGTGGTGATTATTGTTGACTAGGTGACTGACAGAGTTTTTATACGCTTGCGGTTTTTATGAGCCACTCAAGCATGCAATCGAAGGCTTAGGCTTATTTGACGATCCGTCACCCAGAAATTCAAAGGAATATTTGCCGATCCGTCACCCAGAAATTTAAAGGAATATTTGCCGATGCGTCACCCAGAAATTTAAAGAAATATCACATTAGTTGGTTTCAGTGTTTCTTCCTGCTACCAACCCACTTTGTAAACTTTCTTCTTTTGCAAATTCATTTTGATTTATTAAATTGCTCGTGTGTACTCGGTTTTGTGCGGAGAGATAGTGCTCGGCAATCACTTTGTTTCAGCCGTTGATTGTGGATTGCCGATGTTTTCTGGATTATAATCTATCGCACATCCGATCGGCGGTGAACGCGTTCTACTCGAAAATGATGCGGAGACGACTTTTCGATAACAAGGTATCTATTTGAAGTGCGTGAATATAGGATTGGATGAGTAGTTGAGTGTGTTGCAGATATCGAGTAGTGTAATGTTATCGCAGTTGGGACATCATCACGCCCTTCATGAGAATAACCATCATGAAGTGGTGTCTACGTCAAAGAACGAAAGTGATGAGCAAAAGCAACCGAAACAATCCAATGCAACTGCACTATTGGACCTGGTATTATATTGTGAACGCGACGACATTCAACAACCATCGAATACTACGTTATATCCGTTCGGCAACCTGGTTTGTAATAGTAATAATAACGGCAGCAAGATCAAGAGGAAACTTTTCGGCAGCTTTGGCAGCAGTAATTCGACGAATCTTAACAACAGTGGACATTTCTCATCGATCGATTTTTTGCGAATCCTTCAACAACGACTCACTCAGTCGAAGAGTTTCAATCGAGTTTGGATACTTCAAGGTGGGCGATGAGAATTTTGATTGAACGGCTTATCTTTCCGCTTTTTTTGAAGGAATTTTTGGTTCGTTTTTAGAAATAATCATAGCCATTCATCATTATTTATTATTTTGTTAATATTGTTTGGTGGCTCGGTATATTCCTTCGTTTTCTGGTTATTTATCATAATTTGTTGTGGTTGTTTGCAATCGTTTTCGTGTATCTATTCGTTGTTGCTGAATGTTTCTATTAATAATATTCTTTGTGATTCGAAATCGCAATGCTTCATGACTACAGCTTCTATTAATCGTTAAATTGATCACATTTATATTCCTTTTTTGCATTTCATACCTCTGATCTTTGCTCATCGTCAGTCTATTTATCCATCGTATATGCGCGAGAAACAGGCTGCCTATCGTGTGCGAATGAATTGATTGGTATATGCCTTTTAAAATATAATTGTTCGCGTGGTTGTTATTTTCATGGGATGTTTGCTCATTTTTAGCGCTCTTGCTAGTGAGTTGTCAAGAAAAACGGATCTGTTTGAGTCAGTACGTTCTGTGACGTTTTATACGTAGCTATGTGATGTGACGAAACTTGATTTGTAATAATCAAGGGTTTCGATCACTTGAACTAAACCGTTTGGGTGCTTATACAAGTGATATCACGTTGATTCTGGTGAAGTTGTGATTTGAAACACCAACTTCGCTGGATGCAATTAACGCAGTCTGATGATGGAGCTGACCCGTTCAGATTAGACGTTCGGGTTTACTACTGTGACATGAAAGCGTGATACATATATGAATTTATTTCACATGGCTATATTACATATGCACTGCTGTAAAGAGTGACAGTGATATGAGAATTATAACTGATTGTGAGTAAAGAGCATCGTTATCGGGAATGATACATGGACCAGTCTTGTAGATCTATGTGCTTTTAGTTATCTGTAGTGATTACTTTCAACTTCAGTTCTTAAAGCCTTTTCACCTCGGAACAAAGAGTAACCTGTAAACAGGTAAGGCCATAATCCGAATCGTTACCATTTATCGATAATGCGTTTTGAATGATGAGTCAGGCGTGTGCCATGTGACATTTTATCTTTCATCCATCATCACATGAGTCGATACGATACGCATACCTTTCGAATCAGTCATCTGTTTTTGCTTTCCTCTTTTTTTTACTTCGATTTTATCGTTGTCTCTTCTTATGCGGCGAGCGAATTAAAACTGCAAAGTTGTTTATTGGCAAAGTGTTGATTTGTGATGGCTATGAGTTATATGAGAAAATAATGACAGCTCATCATTAGTTTAATGAACTGGAATTGAATTGTGGTGCGAATGAATGAGCGAGTTGTTTTTCGCTCGATCTTATTTCACTTCGCACGTAAGGTTTCCGTCGTAAAGTTTAGAGACGACGTGAATGATTTATTCTCATTTGTATTCACGCACTCCTAGTGCACTCTCAACCACTCAGTTATTCATGCTCTCCTATGGTCGAATTTATTTTTGCGCCCCATTTCGCGTTTCTTTTTTCGTGATTTTTGTGATTATTGCTTTTTTGGCAACCTTATGACATAACTTGGTTGCATGTGAGGAAAGAAAATTCGTATGCATTTCAAACATCAAAGATGTAAGGTGCGGTGTCTGAAATGGCATTGCTGCTTTGCGATATTGACTGATTGATTCATCGTTGTTGTGTGTAGCAGAAATTGAAGTGGCTTTTGCTTCGATGACATTTTAGTTTTGTGTGTCAAATTTTTGCTGCTGGAAATATTTGCAGAGAAATGTGCTTGTGGTGGTGGAGTATGTTCCGATAGAGAATTCGTTTACAATATGTAATTCGTCGGTGTTTTTAGCTGCAGAGAAGTTTTAGTGCAATGTTATGTGTTGTGTTTGCGTATAGTACTCGTCGAGCCGAAACAGAAAACATCCCTTCGAGCGTTTTACACACTCATTGCGTATCGTTGCGTTTGAAATCGAAACTTGTGTGTTTTCGTGTGTATGTATATGGTTAGGTGCTCGGCGCGATGTTGTTACAGCGGTTGCAAATCTATAATACAAATGTATCGGTTTATCGAGTTGAAACTTAATTGAGCTGTCACAAACTGACTTCGATGGATATTTGAAAAGTTGACATTGTTGGGTAAAAAACAGAAAATGGAACGATCCGGTTGTTCCTTTCTGCTATTATTGTTAGCTGAATGGTGTTCAGATGGACGCCTGAAATTTCGGTTCGGATTGAGTTTACATGATTGCTGCCAACGATCGTGCAAAACTGATCTGATCTGATCGCAGTTTTTAATCCAATACAATTGTGAGGCAGTTCGAATTGTTCATTCGCACATTCAGTCTGCCTATATACCTTTTTTATTTGTTGTGTTAGCACTGTGCCACGGTAAAAAGTTTCTGATCGTAGCGGTATAAATTTGAACTTGCAAACTGCCGTCAGAATTTATGAATGAATGAGGAAGTTGGGAGAGACGTAGCCGATGCGAAATAGAAGGTGATGTTGTGCAGTGAATGCTAATGGAAAGTGGAGAAGAGAGGTGAGAACGGAAAACGGAACAAGAAATATCTTTTCATATGAACACAAATATGCACCGTTCACTGTGTAATGAAGAATTGTTAGTGATTTGTTGAGTAAGTGAAGATGATTCATAAATATTTGAAAATCTTTCTGTGCCTTTTCAATTTCTGATCAAATGAACGATGTATAATTGAGGCTGATAACAGGAAGAATTAGTGGATCCTTGATCAGTATTGATTGATCGATTGAATGAATGAATCATGGCCTGATTTGATAGGATTTTATGTAATTTGAATTGATCCTTTTTTGATGTGCTCTGCGTTTAGTGCGCAAATTTAATATTGAATGATCAGATAGTGGATTATCAAAATTGGTTCTTTTAAAGGGGGGGGGGGGAACATTTTTCATGTGCGCTTGGTGGGATAGCTACTACTATATGAATGAATGAATTGATTTTGTTTGTTTGTTAAATAGATGAGTGAGAATTAAACTGGATGTACAAAATAGTTGTTGTATGCATTTATTTGTGCAGGCTTTATCTGAGTTCATGAATGAAGGATAAATGCGTTGTCACCTGTTGCACAGATTACATTGGTTTATTTTAGCAAGGGAGTTTATTTATTGATTGTTCAGTTGGTATTATTTATGATGTGTGCTGTGGAACGCATTCAGACGTTTATTTTTACTGTTATGAATTAATTCATTAGTGAGTTGGTTAGTTTGGTTTGATGATAATATTAATTACGTGTGGAAACGGTAGCGGTAATGTTATTGCAATGAATTGGTCGATAATAGTAAGAAGAGTGGTAATATGGTGATAACGGTGATGATAACGATGAGTGATAAGTTGTGAATGATTATTGTTATCAATATTAATCGTCATTTTTGTTTGGATTAATAGCGTTTGGATTAATCACATTTTTAATGTCTGGTATTCTTAGTCTTGCGTTGTGCTGCTTGTAATTGCCGTTTCTCAACACCGTTCACCTATCAGCAAATTTATCTATGCCGTCATTAATGTGTTTCTATCATTTACAAATCAAGAAAAAAGTATACTTCGGTCTTGTTGTGTTTTTTGCAGATGTTGTTTATGTTCAGTTCATTTGTCGTGTTTTGAGTCATTTAGCGAATAGCGACGATGTAAAGAATGCGCGTTCGTGATCCTCTGAATGAGTTTTGATCAGAATGGTATTGCATTCAGAAAGTAATTGTGATTACGATAACAGATACTGATGGTGGTACTCTATAAAAGGCGATAACAATAATAATCTCTGAGGTGATCTCATGAATTGATAAAAATGAAATCATAGCCTGGCCCGGTCGGGATTTGGTATGTCGTAGTTCGTGTTGCGCTAGTGGGGAAAGTTTTGCTTGAGAAAACCGTGTGCTGTGATAATAACATCCGTGATGCTGATGATACTAATGAAAATGCAAAAAAGATATATGGAATTTCCTGTGAGTCATCTCCTCGAATTTTACCTATAAAATGCTGATTGATGAATGGCTAGCCACTTACTGATCTGTAAGGAATATGTGTGATAAAAGCTGATTGGCACATTGCAAAGCAAACTGTTGACTAATAATTGTAAATATTATCAATAAATGAAGTAGATATGCATATGTAAATGAGCAGGAGATGGGAGTGTATTATCATAATCATGTGAATAACGTTTGTGCTTGATGCGTCGTCGTCTTCGATGATGAGAGGAACGAACGGTGCTGAGATGTGAATAGTGGTGAGATGACTCATCACGTGCAGCTCGCATCGCTCTCTCCTTTCTCTTTGCATATGTTCCTCTCGTTGTTTCTGTCTTCGTCTCGTTGCCGAGTTTTTGCTTGGGATCGATCCGATTGCGATTCGGAAAGAAAGAGCAGCACGTTAGCGATTGACTGATTGTGTGAATTTGCAATGCGATTGAATAATATAATAGATTATAGTAATATATGAACAGTAATAGTAATAATTGCTGTAAATAGCTGTCGAATGCACTGCGAAATGATGATAACTTGTATGATCTGTTGATTTGATAACAGTAGCGATGTAGTTATTCTTGTTGCTCATCTGAGACATTGTGATAATGCGGTCGTAGAGGTGTTCGGCGGATTGTTCGAATTGGTTATTGAATCTGATTGCTGAATGCGGAAGCTGAAGTCGATTTGCGTTTGCCTTCGCTTCTTTGTTTCGGTTTGATGGAGTTGAGATTGTTTCATCGAGGTTTGAGATTTGGATTATAATGCGATTATAATTAGATTGTGCATTTGCAGAAATTTGAGGGCTTTCATATGAAACATGTTGTAATAATATCACTGATAGTTAGTTGTATGTTTGCTGATAGGTTCATTGATATGTTCATTGGTTTATGTAACGGTCATGTGCGTAAATATTTTAATATGTATTTTTATTCGTTGTTGGGGAGATGAAAAATGTATTGTTGATTCATCTAGCTGTTGGCGCTTGTGCAGATAGTAATGTCAGAACGGCAGTTGCAGCAGTTGGGCCAGTAGT